TATAAGAATTGCAATTGGACTCACCACAGTTGTGTAGGCAGAACTAAGCAGTTTGGTTATCATTCTTTCATTAAATTATTTCATTTTAAAGGAAACAATACTCATTCATAAAATTCTGTAAAGTAGGGTTTGAAATCTTTGTACTATTTTTATGAATTATTATTTTCAATTAATTAACGTTTATTATTATTAATTGAACTATTAATTATTATTATGGTTGAACTCAACCCCCTTGTTTCTTTTATTTTTTAACAACCCTACTTTTTCTTATTTAATAGAAATTTTTTTTATTTACTTGTATATATATATATATCATAATTATGACATCATCCTTTGATATGGTCGGCTTTATATTTTTGTATATAAACCTGCCATTCAGAAATGCTGTCATCATTATGAAATATATCTTATATAACATACTAGAACTGGTCAATATACAAAAGATATAGACCTGTTTAGTATGATATATATTTTACATGTATATGTTTCTTCAATTTTGCATTGATGGTTACAATTATTATTTATCACATTTTGGTATAATTGTTCATAGTAAATATGGGTGTGGGTTCTTGGTTTCGTAGAAGCCTTCATAGATGTTCCTTGTTTCACGTTGCCTTAGTTATGATGCCTACAAAATGAAGTGGTTGATACTTAGATTGCATTATAATTATAAAGACTACAACTCCCTTGTGGCATTATGGTCCCTCCCATATGTATATAGAATTTATTGGCCTATGAGATGTAAGATTTATGTCCCTCATTATCTTGACTAACTCTGTCCTGACTCCACTTTCTGATGTTTCATCTTGCTTTTTTATATTTGAATTCACTAATGCAACATGTCTTTAGGTCAATATTTGTATTGTATTACCTAATGAAATAAATCAATACTGACTTTTTTATTAAAAGTGCTATATAGTGTACCTAAATAGTGAACACAATAAAACACTACATGTAGGACTAATTCAAAGAAGTGATCGAGTCTGTGAAGCAAAGAATTGAACAAGGATAAACTATAGACACTGCAGCTATAAAGGATCTCTTTATTTATTGCTTAAAATGATTAATCAATACAAAGGAAATAGACAAGCTGCTCAACTACCACAATAGCAGTTTTAAAAATACATGTCGTTAGAGATATTTGCTGCAAGCATCTAGACACAATTATATCAAACTCCTTGTATACATCATGCCTTAGAGGTGTTATCTGGTTTAAACTAAATACATGTTTGTTTTCTATATATCACCACAAGTTTACACTAACTTTCCACAATTTAAAACTACCCTATTATTGGCTAGGAGTTAATTATGTTAATATTGATGATTGGCAGTAATATGAAAAAATCGCAAATATAAAGTCTACCATTATGTTCAAATCTGAGCATGCTCATTGGCCAAAATAAAAAAATTTTGTCTGAAAATTAAAATAGGGCTTCTCAGTACATGAATGTAGAGCAGAGAGGGTTTGATAACTGAGCAGGTGTCTATTGACAAAATTGACGTAAATGACAACGTAAATTGACAAAAAAATAGATTTTACTTGAAGGTCAACAATGGGGCTTTTGAGACAGGAAAGAAGAGCACAGAGAGATTGATTAATAGAGCAGAAGACACCTACATAGAAATGCAACCACAAATGATAATGCAACAATTAGTATGCCAATAATGCTGAGCAGTTACTGATACAAAAGTTTAAATGTATTCTTCAAAAACTGCTGACTTGCTAAGCATTGCAGCAATTGAAGGTGTGACTGGAATAAAAGGTGTGTCTAAAATTAAGCACGGCCTACTTTACAGTTACACCAATGGGCAGTTACTGGTAAAAAAGCTTCAGTTTTCTACACTCATACATAGTTGCAGACAATAATTAGGCTCTATTTGTTGGACACAAACTTGATAGTAAGAAACTACAGTTTAAAAGACTCTGACGTCTCTTTATGAAGAAGAGGACCTCGTGTAAAAGGTCGGGGTAAGAGATGTTTGAGCTACCATATTTCAGAAATTAAGAATTTACGACAAATTTTCTACATATTAAACAAATAAAAGCTTTCAATCTGAACCATAAACTGACATTGTAGCTAAACTTCAAAACATAATTATCATTATGATATTTTATTGGAACTGACCATCCACTGATGTTCAGTCTTCTCTCTTTTCCTACAATATTGTGTATCTTCTCCAAGGGTAATGAAGAAGTCTCATCTTTTATAGAAATACTCCTGCGCTTGACTAATAATAATTATTATAATATTATTATTATTTACAAGAAATATTGACTATCAACTTCTAAAAAATGGTTTGAAATTATTTTATATTTTTTTAGTATAGTATATATACCTTGTTTTTTACGTTTTATTTTTGTTGAATCACTTATTTTCAGCATTCTTGCATGTACATGGCATAATGTGTTCATTTTTCTCATTCTTGCAATCTTTGATAGGACATTTTGTCCCCTGACAAGAATACCCTTGCGTCCTTTTTTCTACATAATTTATTATTGCCAATGTAAGTAAAATAACTCATATATTGAAGCAACATGGTACCAGCATAATTTAACTTTGTGTCTTGATGTTTGTTTTGTTGCCTTTTTTTTGTCGGAGGTGTCTTCTGGTGTAGCCATACTTAATACTTCACTAACTTGCAGTGTTTCTGATTATGTTCCTTTCAAGTGCATGATGCCACTTCTTTCTTTTATAATGCTTTGGTTCTTTTCATCATTAATACAACTGTGATGTAACTGTTACTAACTTTAGTATGAGTGGCTATGTAAGATGCGAGGTCTATACAAAAGATTGCTGAATTGTATTATATCATCATTACAAGGTTCTGCAAGCTTTAACCCACTCAGCAGTTACCATTGCATGTTTAGGTTCTGCAGACTTGAAGCAACTCAGCAGATGTAATGATAACATCAATTGTTACTATATTAATACTCAATGCAAAACTTGATATAAAAAGGAGTAG